GGTTGCTAAATAATACTTCATACTTTACAAGACAAAATCTCAATACCCCTTATGAGATTGTTAGATTTGTTCAACATAAAATATTGACTATAAAAATAAAAATAAACACTCTATTATGTGACAAAATTATACTTCAATATAAGAATCTATAAAATTACTTACAAGTTACAACCATTAGAAGGTTAAAAATGGAGAGATATATACGAAGTACATAACTATAAGAATCTCTGACTTTTCTTGGATTATTATTACTATTCCAAATTCTTATTGGTGTAATATGTATGGGCGTTGGGCGTATTGCAGATTTGCAAGAGGGGTTCTCATATAGCAATTGGACGCACACGCAGTACACTCAATGAATTTAAGTTGCATTTAAAGGGCATCCCACTTTCAAGCAAAGCCCAATTATAATATAGGTTTGCAATCCTATAGTTTTTGGATCACGAAACTATGAAAACGTGGATACCTATCGGTAAAGGCTACACATATACTTGTTGTATGTGGTCCTTAAATACAATCTTACTTTGTTATGTTTTTATTGGCTACAATAATGGGTCCATGTTCCATTAGAATTCAATTTATTGTATGTAGGCAGACCTGGGCACCGTGCCGGGCCGTGCCGCCGCGGGCCATGCCTGGCGGGCCACGGGCTGGTTCGTGCCGTGCCGGTCATGCCGGCGGGCCCAGGATTTCGTGTCGTGCCATGCCGGCCATTTTCACAGGCCAGCCCACGGCACGGCACGGCCCTCGTGCCTGGCGGGCTCGTGCCGTGCCGGCCACGTGCCGGCCTGCGGGCTGGTGCAGTTTTCAATTTTTTTTTTATTTTTATTTTATATATGACAACATTATAAATTAATAAGTTTATAATGTATATAAGTTATAAAATTATAATTATAAGTTTTATAAGGTTATAACTTATAAGTTATAAGTTATTAAGTTATGAATTTTATAATTATAAGTTGAATATTTATGTTTTATAATTTGTATATTCAATATTTATATTTATATATTTACTTTATACTATTACTTTAAAATTTAATGTTTATGATTTATTAGTAATTGGTATAATTTTATTTTTTTTAATATGAATTTACAAATTGTAACAAAACGGGGAAAAAAGGCAAATTGGACTTTGGATGTGAATAATGCGTACTTTATATTATTATTACTTGAGTTGAGAAAATTGTACAATGATAACAATGATAAAAATCATACAATGATGGTATTAAACAAAAATTGGAAAATGATAAAATTGATATTTTTAAAATCGTACAATATACAATAATTGTCTATTCTTCTTCTCCTTCTTCTTGCTCGTCTTCATCTTCGTCTTCGTCTTCGCCTTCGCCTTCAAGGTCATCGGCTAGTTGCATAGATTGGGAACTAGCCGAACCCGAACCGGAAGCGGAGGTTCCTTCTTCGTTGTCGTTGTGGTCGTAAGAACGGTCTTGTGAGCGATTTTCCGCATCCAACCAATCTTTGAAACACACGCACATTTCTAGTGTTTCGGGTTTTAGACTTGTTCTTCTATCGTCTAAAACCCTTCCGGATGCGCTGAAAGCTCGTTCGGAGGCAACGGAGAATGTCTCGTGCCATTGCCGCCAAAGTTGGATGCTTCGAGCTTTGTTGTTTCCACCATGCAAGGAGGTCGAGGCTGTTTATCTCATCGTCGTCCATGCCTTTGGTGAAGTCGTAACTCAGGTACATCTGCAACTCCGGGACGTCGCTTTGCGTTCTCCTGATTGATGAATCACCTGAAAACCTTGAAATCAAGTTAGTAGCCTGTGAAAATAAATGTTTGGCCTTCTTACTTACGTTTTTGGATGGTTGGGAAGGCCCTGAGCGAGGAACGGTGCCATATTTGGCTTCATAGACTCTATATAAAGCAAAAAACTGATCCTTCACATTAGTCTTATAGATTTCTACATCATTGTCAAGAAACATGCATTGAAAGTAAATGTCAACTAACATAAATGTGTTTTCATACTTTTTCCTAGGATCTAATATGGAAGCAAAAATATAAATCAAAGGAATCTCACTATAATATTTACGCCACTTTTTTTCCATTGCTGGAAGATACTGATCATAATCACTTTGATGGCGATGATCAGCGAAAAGTTGGGCGAGTAAGCATGCATTAGAAAGAAAGTTTTGAGCACAAAGATTGTAAACAGTAGAAAAACAATACGTCATGTTATATAATAACTGTAAAAATTGCATATATCTTTCACAGTTATTCCAATCATCATCATACAAAGCATTTTGTGGAAATTTTTGGTTGTAAAATAATGTTAACGGGCCCTTGTACTCAATTGCCTTTGTTAACATGTCATAGGTGGAATTCCACCTAGTTGGGCAATCGGTTCTAATTTTTATTACCCTTATCTTTTGTTGTTTTAGAAAACTCTTCCATTCTTGGTATCTCATGTTAGAGCTATTAATAGACATAATAGCATCTCTGATTTTGCTGTAGTATGGGCCAATTGCCCGAACTCCATCCTGTACACATAAGTTAAGTACATGGCAAACACATCTAGTATGAAGAGCTTCACCGTCTAATAGTACATCGGTTAAGTTTTGTTTGATAAGATTAGCTGTGTATGTCATAGAGGTTGCATTATCAAAAGTCATAGACATCATTTTATCTCGAAGGTTGTATTCGTCTATTGCTTGCATTAAATGGTGAGCAATGTTAATGCCGGTGTGTGGGTATTCCAGCATTTTGAAATGTATTATTCTTTTTTGTAACATCCATTGATCATCTACCCAATGGCAAGTCACACATAAATAGTGATATTTATAACCACTATCCCAAGAATCGGCTGTTAAAGATACTCTACAGTTAAGGTTACTCAATTCGGCTTGTAACCGGACTTTGTACTCTAGGAAATTTTTCATTGCGGCGGAACGAACGGTTTTCCTAGAGATTCTTTTATGTTGGGGTTGTAGTGCTTTGTTAATGTAGGTGTTGAATGCGTCACTTTCCGAGAAAAGAAAAGGTTGTTCGGCGTGTACTATCATTTTTCCTAGTTCATCCCTATCCCTCTCATAGTTTTATGTAAAGCCGTATGAATGGAATTGGGAAATTTTGGGCTGGGTTGGATCACTAGCTGGTTTTGCACAAGCTTTCATGTGTCTAGATAAGTGTCCCGTCCCGTTTTTGGTAACTGCCGTGAATACACTATTACATGTTTTACATTTTGCCCATTGTTCACCATCTTTACTTAGGACAAAATAACGCCATACCTCACTCCTTCGGTTTTTCAAAAGTAGCATCTCAGTTTCGGTTAACCATTCATGATGTGTGTGATGGTTAGTAGTGGGACTAGTGGGAGTGACAGTAGAAGGGGTAGAACCGGAGGGAATTCGGGTACTTTCTTGGCTACCTTGGCTAGAACAATAGTTTTGTTGATCACCGATATAATTAGGTGGAAATTGGTATGGTGGTAGTGGAAATTGGTTTAGTGGTGGTGCTGGAAATCCCGACGTATTATATGGCTCATAGCCCCGGGGGAAGTAAATGGGGTCATTGGTTTGACTCGTAATTTGGGGGCTCGTTGTATTTGGTGGTTCCCTATAACTACTACTACGGATAAGTCGGCCTTTCCCCCTAGACCTAGATGATGGGTTGTTCGATGCCATAATTAACAATTAATTTTTTAATAAAAAGTGGTTAACTATAATAATAATAATTAATAACAACAATTTTAACAATAAAAATATCAATAATAATAATTAATAACAACAACTATAACAATAACAATAACAACAAAAATAAATAATAACAACAATTGTAACAATAATAATAATTAATAACAACAATTATAACAACAACAATAACAATTAACAACAATAATAATTAAACAAGATTATTCTAATAATAACAATAAAACAATAATAAATTTAAGATTAGTTTAGATCTTACAACCGTGCTTCAACGCTCCACTAATTACGATTACGAACTTTTTAATTTTTTCCGATATTAGGAAAATAATTAGAGAATTTAAGAGAATAATTAGAGAATTTAAGAAAATAAGGATTATTAGAGATTTAGAGAATATAAGAGATAAGAAGAAGAGATTGTGATTTTGTGATTTGGGAATGAAATGGAGGTGAGTATTTATAGAATTTTTGGGGAGCAAATTGGCAAAAAACTAGCCGTTTTTTAGCCGTTTTTTTGGCTTATTAAGGAGCTAGAATAAACGGTAACATTACCGTTGGCCCGCGGGCCGGCACGACGGGCCAGCACGGCGGGCCATGGCCGTGCTCGTGCCGGGCCGTGCCTGGGAATTCTAAACCCTGTCCGTGGCACGGCCCGTGGCACGGGAGTTGAACTTCGTGCCGTGCCGTGCTTGAATTCGGGCCGTGCCGGGCTGCGCCGAACGGCGGGCCGTGCCGGGCGGCACGCGGGCCAACCTGGCCCGTGCTCAGGTTTATATGTAGGGATAACATACAATAATTGTATGTGTATCAACTCTCATAACTATTTTACTCCCACCAATTTTAAATTTCGGCTCCATTCGTCTCTTTAGCAAAATTAACAATAGTGGGTAGCTTTAGTAGATGTCAATTAATAGTTGATAGAGGTTTACTATCAAAGTAAGAGTTAATAATATATGTGTTCGGCAAAATCAGCAATTATATACTAAAAATCTAAAATACATACATATTGTCTAATAAAAGTAAGCAAAACTTTGACAAACACTACTATAACTTTGAGATCACAAGAGGGGACATACTACAGGCTAACTCGTATCACTTTCAAATCTACTAAATTCAATCAGGCTAAAACTAAGCCGGGCCAATTTTACTTTAAATCAACTCAATTTATCAAGTATCCGGACCAATACTTTTGGTCTACCCAATCTAGCCACGGCTCATCAACAACACCGCCCCCTAGCCCTAGGCCCCTAACCTCTTCCAGTCAACAACCAATACACAGGTTCCCATTTCCTACGTTTCTTCCTCTCTTCCAGATCATTTTTTTTGGCAAATCCAGGAAAAAAGTAAAAGAAAAGCCTCTAGAAACTTCATCCTATGTGTCCAAACATAAAGTGCAAACAGATCTCTTTCAATGTCATTGGCTAGCTGATGTAAACGTCGAAAATACATTAAACAATTTTCTTTAATTTCCCTATTTTAATTCAATTCAACTTTTATTACACAGGAAAAAAAAAAAACAAAAAAAAAAAAAACAAAAAATACAGTTTCCTCAGCCAAAAACCTCCGTGAAATCTCTCTTCGACGAAATTCAATTTCTGAGTTTAATAATCAGTATGTTTTCTTTCTCTTCTCTGATTGTTGTAAAATACCCTTTTTCTCGCTGTTTAAATCATTACCCAGATTCTTAATTTTGCTTAATCTTCTGGATTTGTTGAAGATTGATTACGTGCCCATTAATCTTGTTGTTAATCTTACTTAAAGTTGAATCTTGGTGTATTTTAGGTTTGTAATTTGAATTTTAAGTCAATTTCTTGATGGGGATTAGCTAAATCAAGGGTTTATTAATTTTGATTTTGATGGGTTTTATTTTTGTGGAATTGTTTGTTTGGTTGAAGTAGAAATGTAGTGAAACTTGTACGAAAGAACTTTGATTTGATAGAAATGGGAAGAACAAATTACTGTGATTATGACTAGGGAAGCTTGATTGATAATGGGTGTTTATAGAAAGCCTTCTATTTTTACAAATTGGGTTCAATTTTGAAATATGGTATAGAAAATTCTGGAAATAATTGTGTGTTATTGCTTTCATGAATTGGAGGTTTTTATGTGCAGATCAAGTACTTATTAAGTTATTAGTCTGTTGGTGATTTTGATTGAATGGTTAAGTATATTATGTATGCTAGTTTGATTTTGTGTTTTTTAGGATTGGTAAGCTGACAGACATTTGGAATTCTTGCAAATGTTTTTCTTCTAGATACTGTACAAGATGAGGGTAGTTAGATTGAGCCTTATTCTGTCTGTAATAGTCGTAATATCGGCTGCGATGGCATGGGCAAGTGATGGCCGGGTTAACAAGTCAGCTTTGGGGTTGTTTTGGTCGACTGGTAAAGAAGAAGGAGAATTGTTAAAGAATCCGCAACCTGCAGAACCTGAGGCATTGGATGACAATGATGAGCTTGATGGTGGTTTCTCTTCTCTTGATGGGATGTTACAGTGGGCAATAGGTATCGCCCTTTTTCGTTCTTTATGCTTTGCTGAGTAGTATTTTTGGGTTGCTGTTATTTTATTAAAGTCATTTAATGTCATTAGAATTGTCTTTTTCCTTATCTGGATATCAGCCTTGATTTGATTTGTAAAACCTTAATTTCAGTCACCAAGTACTCGTACATATTTCCCCATTCTATACTGTTGCATAAGACATATAGGTGTCACTGTATATTCTAGCATCATGGCACAGCTACACTGCATATCTGAGTCTTAACTGTAGTATATACTCTATATTAATACTGCTGACCCTAACTTGTCTTGTTTTTTATTAGAAAGTAAGGCTAACACTAGATGACATGGTGGTTCATAAAATTTAGACTGCTATCTATGCAGTAAATCACATAATGGTGGAGCACCCTGATTGAAATTAAGGATACACAGAGTCAAAATCTGGGTTTGTCACTTGGTGTTAGAGGGAGCAGGCCTTGATTTTTGCTAAGGCTTTTTATTCCCTGGCATGTATTTTATATTTTTTTTTTGAGGGGAAGCAAACTTATATATTAATTGCCAAAGCATCCATGAGTACAAACGGGGATACATTAGGAGGAACAAAATTGTCCCAGATTTGCTCACAATCAGAAGGAATAATCTTTGCAAGGTTGTGTGCTACAACATTACCCTCTCTTCTCACATGGCTCCACTGAAGACTGTCAAAAGCAGTGCTCTGCTCCATAGCATCACATAGGATCGAGTCAAGTTCCGTGCTGTAAGCAATGCCCTTTTCAAGTCTAGAGACTACTACTTGGCAATCTGACTCGATGATCACCGAGTTGTAGCCATACTTCGAGCCCAGACTTATTGCCCAAACCATAGCTTTTGCTTCAGCTATTTCCACAGACCACCAAGCACGGATTCTTTTTGTGGCAGCAAATAGGACCTCCCCTTTTTCATCTCTCGCAACAATACCTAGTCCCACCCATCCTTCATCAGTCACCGATGCATCAGCATTGATTTTAATAGTTCCAGGAGGGGGAGGAAGCCACTTTTTCGGACTAGAACAGATGCTGGCAGTAGTAGCTCTCTTAGTTGCCTCAGCACTCTTTGTGCTTTCTTCAGTCCAGCGCAGAATACGAGCTATAAGGATATCAATTGGGCCATCTTTTTGTTGAAACACTTTCATGTTCCTATCTTGCCATAAACCCCACATTAGATAAATGCCACGAATTTTCACCCCATTCTCTAAGTCCTTCCAACTGTCAATAAGGTCACATGGGGATAGAGAGTCCACATCCTTCCTCATCCTTTCGCAATTCAGCTTGGTCCATAGCTCCTTGACTCTCCAGCAATTAAAGAAAGCATGCTGCCAAGTCTCGGGCTCACAATCACACCAAGGACACAAATCAATTTCAGTGAGATGGCGATATTTCAGAAGGCTACGGACTGGCAGAGTATTAGTGCAGATGCGCCATAGAAAATTCCGTGCTTTTGGGATAACATTCATCTTCCATATCTCGACCCAAGCATGATGAAAATCATCTAGATTGCATCCCTTACCCAACATGTAAGCTGTTTTAACATTGTACAACCCATTCTCGGAAAAAGCCCACATTAAGTCATCATTCGGGATTCTGGCACTTAAAGAGATAGCGAGTATGCACTTCAAGTCACGCTCATTAAAATAAGCTTGCAGGATTTCATAATCCCAGGTTAAGCTCTCGAAATTGATTAGCTCGCTGACCTTTGTAATCTCAGTTGACCGATCACTCGTTATGAATCGACCATCGCCCTTGAACAACCACGGATCAGTCCATATATTGATGCTATTTCCATTACCAACTCTCCGTAGAATGCCTTCCTTTACAAGTGCCTTTGACCCCCATATACTACGCCACGAGAAGCTACCACCATAGCCAAGATAAGAGGACAAGAAATCCGAATTGTTATAATATTTGGCCTTCATCACACGACTGAGGAGGGAGTTGACATTTGACAACAATCTCCATGCTTGCCTACCAAGTAGAGCTTCATTAAAAACAGTCAAATCTCGAAAACCCATCCCTTCTAAACATTTGAGGGTACACATAGAATCCCAGCTTCTCCAATGGATACGATTTCTTCCCTCACTTTGACCCCACCAAAAGTTTGCCATTGCCGAATGAATTTTCCTAATTACCTCGGAGGGGAATTTATAGACTCCCATGAGATAAGTCGGAATAGCCTGGATCACAGATTTCAGGAGAATTTCCTTCCCGGCCTGGGATAGTAATTTTTCCTTCCAACACTGCAGTTTCTTCCAAACTCTGTCAAGTAAAGCTTCAAAAATACCCCGTTTTGACCTCCCCAAAATACTCGGAATACCAAGATATTTCTCATGGCGATCCACATGCTTCATGTTCAGAATTTCTAATATCTCTTCTCTTTGCTCAGTCCTAACCCCTTTACTGAAGGACACTTCCGATTTCTCATAATTAATTTTTTGCCCGGATGCTGCTTCGTACTGGTTGAGAATATCAACAATGTTTGAGCATTTCTGTTGGTTTGCCCTTGTAAAAAGGAGACTGACATCTACAAACAAAAGATGAGATATTGCTGGACCCTTTCGGCTTGCTTTCACACCATGAATATCACCCTTCTTTACCTTATTCTGAATCATATGAGAAAACGCATCTGCTACAATAATAAATAAATAAGGTGAGAGAGGGTCACCTTGCCGTAGACCTCTCGAGGGAGTCACTGCACCACAAACCTCTCCATTGATCACAAAGGAGTACTTAATTGAGGAGACAAGCATCATCACCAGGTTTACCCATCTTCCGTCAAAGCCCATCTTCAAAAGAAGTTGGCGAAGAAAACCCCATTCAACCCTATCATAGGCCTTGCTCATGTCTAGTTTCATTGCAATGTGACCCTTCCGACCCTTGCTTCTCTTCTTCATAGTATGAAAACACTCCATAGCAATCAAAGCATTGTCTGTGATTAATCTCCCCGGAACAAAGGCACTTTGATTTTCTGTAATGATCTCACGCAATACATCCTTCAGCCGAATAACTAGACATTTCGAGACAAGTTTATAAATAACATTACAAAGACTGATAGGTCGAAATTCCATAGCATTCTGAGGTTCCTTAACTTTCGGGATGAGTGCAATGTTTGTTTTATTAACATTTTCCGGAAAGGTATTACCATTTAAAATTCCAGTGACAAAAGTTGCTACATCGTTACCAACAATATGCCAGAAACATTGATAAAAAATAGCATGCATACCATTCGGGCCCGGGGCCTTATTTGGGTGCATTTGCTTAAGGGTTGAGTGAACATCCTCCTTTGTGTACGACACAGTGAGCATTTCATTCATTGCATGGGAAATTAAACCGGCACCTTGCTGAGAACTTGATCAAAGTCAACACTAGTGGGATTTGAGGATGTAAAATTACCCTCAAAATAATCACCAATAATACTAGCTATCTCCTCCTCCTCGGTTCTCCAAATGTCGCTTCTGTCTAATAGCCCCTTAATTGTATTTTTTCTCTGACGTTGGGAAGCTTTGTGATGGAAATATTTCGTGTTTCTATCTCCTTCTCGAACCTCCGCAACTCTAGACCTCAAGTGCCAATAAGCTTCGTATTTTCCTTGTAACTCATCGAGATGTTTCTTAAGCTCATTACACTCCCTACAACTATCACCATCAATCGGTCTCTCCTGAGCTTTCTGTAAGGCAAATTCGGCATCAGCAATCTGTTTACCCAGCTTATTGTAGTGCTCCTCACTCCATCTCAACAAACTCCTGCCCGCTGTAGCTACTTTCCCAATCACGTTCAAGGTAGCCGAACCCTCCCAAGCATCTCTTATGACCTCCTCACACCCATCGTCAATCATCCAGAAGGTTTCAAACTTGAAATCTTTTTTCTTCTTTTTTGTGCGGGTAACATCGAGGTGCAACAAAATAGGCGCATGATCAGATTTTATTCGAACAATGTGGTCCACAGAAGCATGCTTGAACATCGAGCACCAAGATATTGAGCCGAGAAATCTATCTAATCTCGTAGCTGGGGATCTTCCTCTTTCCCAAGTGTACCACGTACCATTGTAGCCCAGGTCTCGAAGCCCGCAATCAAAAAGCACTGCTCTGAAATTTTCCATTTCTCTCCTTTCCCCTTGGGCTCCTCCTTCCCTCTCTTCATATGATAACAATTCATTAAAGTCCCCACCCAAGACAATTGGAACCTCATCTTCACATAATTGTCGGATGAGCTGCCAAGTGTTAAACTTTTCATCAGATTTCGCCCAACCATACACCCCAACGAACCTCCATTTCAAAAGGCCCTCACACCAAATGTCACCGCAAATGTGATGTTGTGAGAATGAATTAAGTCTAAAGTCCACACTCTCCTTCCAATAGATGCAAAGACCACCTGATCGACCATTGCTAGGAACACCAAAAGCTCCATGGAACCCCAAGGAGCCCCTAAGGTCTTCTACTACTTTATTGTCCACCATAGTTTCAGAGATAAAAAGTATCCCTGGGCAAAATTTGTGACTCCATTTACGAAGTCGATGAACTGATCGGGGATTGCCCATTCCCCGACAGTTCCATGCTAATACGCTCATTGGGTACGGCGGGGTTGGCCATCACCAACCTCCGCCATTGGCCCCACACCACTCAACAAATTTGTGTATATTATTTTCTTCCCAATGTGCTGCCCCTCTTCTACTGCTTCTCCCCCTTCTCTGTCTCGCTTTCCCTTTTCCACCTGATTAAAATCTGATTTATTGCTTCCTCCCCCTTCTCTTGCTATTCTTTTCCATTGTCGCATCCCCCCTTTTACTCCTACTTCATTAGGAATACAAAGGAGCTGGGCCTCATGGACACCTTCATCACAAACAGGGGACTCTGACTCCTTTGCAAAATTCTGCTTCTCGGTTTCCTGTGGTACAGGAATCTGCTTCAGTCCCTCCTCTTCTACCAATATTAAACTCGACCATCCAGACAATGGATTCGATTCCTCATTCTCTCTTGCTTTCAGGTCTTCCTGTGAAAAAGTAGCAGCATCTAACTTTTCCACAAGCATATCTGTCCTCTTATTCTTTGCTTCACTGCATTGCTGAGATTTTTTTGTTATAAAGAGCCTTCTCACAGCACTACTTAAATCCCCTTCATCGTCATGAACATCGTTTTTTGTTGCTTTCCATGGAGTAGCAACCCGCAACTTCTCATTAAACTTCCTAGCAACAGCAACCTCATAACAGTCCTTCTCACCGTGGCCTAACAAACCACAAACATCGCAGAAAACAGGGAGCTTTTCATATTTTATAGGAACCTCCATCAATCCCCTCCCCATCTTCAGTTCTACAGACTTCATTAACGGTTTGTTCACATCAATATAAACACGAATCCTTAGGGATTTATTAATGCCTATCACATCCGTTTTATCCATGGCAGTAAAGGACCCAATTTTATCCCCAATTCTCCTAGCATTGTCTTCGTTATTCCTCCCTTTAAAAGGAAGGTCATAAACTCGAATCCAAAAGGGCACACAATAAAGAGGAATTTCCGAGGGTTTCGACATACCTTTAACGTCATCTAAAATCATAACATGATGATCGAAATGCCAAGGTTGCGAGTCCATTACAAATTGCTTATCCTTCCAATGATGAAATTGAAAGTAAAAGGTTTTGTCGCCAATCACATTCGCTTCACATCCATGCTTAGGGTTCCAAACTTTCTTCATTGTGTTAATTAGAGCATTATTATTCACATTACGGGGAGTGTGAATTTTCCCAACAATCGCCAATTCGATTTGAGCCTCCTCATCTCCATCACCATCATCCTCCCAATCGATATCACCACTCCTCTTATTAAGGTCTGAAACCACGTTATTTTCTGTCTCGGGGGTCGCCATAGAGAAAAGTAAATTATGAATCAAGATAAAGAAATCAATTGAAAAGAAACAAACAAACTTCGAGGTAGAAGCAGAAACTAGCAATGGCTAGAAGGAAACCCTCCCAAGAGAAAAAAACCCTAGAGGGAAAATTTTAGGTATAAGAGAGGGCATGTATTTTATATAGTGTAGTAGCCAATGGGAAAATTCTAGACGTTGCCAGGAGTATTCAAAATAGTTTGATTAATCATTAGCTAGATAACACTATGAGTAGTGTGCCATGAAGTGGCAGAAAAATATCCGGAAGTTTGTTAAATGCTTAGTGGTTTTGTCTTCAAATGAGAGAGTAGTAGCTAGAGCTCCCCTTTCATTGTTCATATAAAGGGAATTATTATCTATCTTTAAATTTTTTGAATTCCTTTGTGTCAGATATCTCGTTGTGGCAGTGTAATCATATTTACTCACCTATTTGAATATCCATTGTCAAAGAGTTTATTCATGCATCCCCACTCAAAATAAGAAAAAATAATAATAACAAAGGATATACTCCACATTTTATATATTCTTTTGGTGCACCTTTAGCTGCCAAGCATAATCATTATACCCCACAGATTTATATGGAAATAACTTGACATTTATTACAGCAATCCAAATTACCATATGATTAGTGTTTGCACAAGTCTTCTCACTGAATGTATATTCTAGGCATGTTTTGTGCAACATGTTTTTCTTGTGAAGTGACATCTCTATTTCTGCATTTATTGATGTTACAGGACATTCTGATCCAGCAAAGTTAAAGGAAGGTGCAAAATCTGTGCAGCGCCTGTCTGATGATGACCTGAAGAGGCGCCAAATAGAAATTAAGGTGTTTATCTTTTAGTACTCAAAATGCTATAAACAAAACATAATGGTTTTTTCTATATCATTACTTTTGCCTTCTTGTTTTCTTTGGTGAAGAATTTAAATTTTATGTAGCTTGCATTAAGCTACTCCTTGTTCAACTGTCTTACCTTGCTACTTGTAGATCTTTTGAAAAAGAACATTGTCTATAATTTAGCTAATATCTTGTGTTTATGCCTGCTCCCAGCAACATATTTACTTATATCTACTGATAGTGACAAATTAAAGTTGTGCTAAACATTATAGGTGTGAAGAAGTGTTTTACACACTTACTTGACAAATTAAGATGTCACTGCTTTCATCATAAGTTTTATAACCTTCTCGTTAGTGCAACATGTTCCTGTTCACTTGAGATAATTTCACTTAGTAGAATTCCTTCTGCTGTTTTTGTTATAAATTCCAATATTTGTTCTCTTGTGGCAATACACCTGAATCTTTGGCACTGCTATTAGATCTAACATGTGTATGTCTTATGTCCAGGAATTAATGGAAAAGTTAAAAATGCCTTCAGATGCAGAGCTGATGAAAATTGCAATAGATGACTTGAATAATTCCTCTCTCTCTTTGGAAGACCGCCTTCGTGCTCTGGAAGAGCTGTTGACACTTGTTGAGCCTATTGACAATGCCAATGGTATGTCCTATACACAGAAGCTTAATATTGCAATTTTAGGGTTCCAACTCTCTATTTATACCAATCTTTATCCTGTTGCAGTTTAGTCTGTCAGAGTTCTTTGAACTTTTATAGTAATTTTTAGAACCTTGAAGACCAGGACTGCAGGACATACTCAACAATAGCGCTTTATATTCTCTGTACTCGACTGTGGAATTTGTTAGAGCTGCATCGTTTAGTCTGTTAGAGTTCTTTGAACTTTTATAGTAATTTTTAGAACCTTGAAGACCAGGACTGCAGGACATACTCAACAATAGCGCTTTATATTCTCTGTACTCGACTGTGGAATTTGTTAGAGCTGCATCGGCATGTTTTTTGACATTTTAATCTCTAGCAAACTCTCCTCAGCTTCCCACTCCCACCCCAATTTGGGGTCTTCTGATTTTGTCCCCCAAACAAACCATTTTTAGCTCCAACATTAGTCAGCATTGTTTTATTGTGATAGTGTGTTGACAAAAAGGTTTTGTTTATTTTACTTTGGATAGGGCTTTCTTAGGTGGTTAATACTTCCTTCGTCATTTTACAACAGATTTGAACAAACTTGGGGGTCTTGCCGCTGTTATAAGACAGCTTGACAATGCTGAGCCAGATGTAAGGAAACTTGCTGCTTGGGTTCTTGGAAAAGCATGTCAGAACAATCCAGTTGTTCAGAAGCAGGTTAGCTTATCTGTTCTTCACAAGTAGTTCTGCATTTTTGCTGCAGGATACAGCCGTATGTGTTCACTATACATTAACGAAAATGCATTATGAACTGGGAACCTCACTAATGGCTAAAAGATGTTCATGTTATGTGATAAGTTTACTTGTGGATTTCAGGTTTTGGATTTTGGTATACTGGCGAAGCTCTTGGAGATGGTGAAATCTGATGCTGTGGAAGAGGCCAACAAAGCATTGTATGCAGTTTCTGCCTTAGTCAGAAACAATTTAAATGGCCAGGAGTATTTTTACGCGGAAGCTGGAGACTTGACGCTTAAGGTAAATTAGGATAAATTCTGGTGGTATCTGGCTTATCCAACTAACACCTTAATTATCTGTTCATCCTATTCTGGAAACATAAAAATAAAGATAAATACTAAAGAAAGGCCATATTGATGGAAACATGGAACTAAAAGAGAGTTGGGTTCCCTTGGCTATTATTAGGGCATGCTTAGCTTTAATTTTAAGAGGGCTTGAAAGTTGCATTAATGTTCTCTTCTTTGCAGGATATACTGAGCAATTCTACCTTTGACATCAGACTACGCCGAAAATGCGTCTTTCTTATTGGTGATTTGGCAGAGTCCCAATTACAGAATGCTGATCAGGCAGAGCTTCCCTTTTTCAGAGATCATGTTTTTCTGAAGGCGATAGTTAATTTAACATCGTCAAATGACCTTGATCTCCAGGAAAAGGTACCCTTTTAATTTTGTTATTTGTGAATCTGAATCAGTAATGTGCTTGTTGAACATTCACACCCCAAATTTCTTAATATTTTTCGTTGTTCGGATTTCATTTCGCCCAATTACCCTTGTTGGATCCTTGGCAATTGGGCATTTCACTCTGACGCCTCATTTTGGTGAAAAACAATGGAAAATCAATCTAAAATAGGAGTGTCTAGTGTCTGTGTCTGATATGAGTATCCAAGTGCATGTAACATAGCTGTTTGTTCTGTCTCCCTCTATTGTCGAGTATAACTTGGATGTTGATGGTCTGTGAAATAGTTATGAACATGTTTGTATCTATGCTGTTGATTGAACATTATGTTGTTTTCTCTTACAGGCACTTGCTGCAATTAAGAGTCTTCTACAACTTAGAACGATTGACGCTTCTGCTTTGAAGGACTTCTGCGCTTTGGACAAGGCATTGGAAAGAATGAGGCTGCAACTGCAGCAGTTAATGGAGGAGGAAGATCAAAGCGACTATGCAAAGGATGTGGAAATTCTTCGTCGAGAGGTGGAACTGATTTTTTACAAGAAGCTCAATAAAGTACGTCTCTTCTTTAACCGCTTATTAGACAGTTGGTTTTATTAAGCACAATACTTCATATTAGTTAAGAAACAAATACTTGAGTTGGGCACAGTATTTCCTTGTGTCTGACAAGTATTTGCTCATGGACCCTGAAATCAAATCTTTTTTGTGTGATAAATTTGCAGGGAATTCAAGTTCCTACATAACACAACTTAGCATGAGCCGTTGCCACTCTTTGAAACATAAACTGTTAGTTGTAGATGCTTGCTTGATCAGCGATCCTTGGAAAATGTCGAGGAATCAAAGAAAAGCTATTCAAATCTGCAATCTAGGGGTTTTATAGCGATCACAATGGAATGGTTCTTGACACTATTCAGATAGGGTTTTGTTTAGTTATTCTAGTACTGTATTAGACATCTAAGTAATGTATTATATGTGTAATACACTACTCATACGCGGATGACAAATCAGTTGCGAACTGTACAAGAACAAATATTTTCCCAAGCTCCTTGCTTTGTACTTTTAGTCTTTCACTCTGGGAGTCCAAAGGATTTCACAGTTAGCTGTGTAGCCTGTGTTAGTGTGTACTGTATATATCATTAGTTTCATGAATATACGACCGTTTTTCGTTGTTTCTACATTTTTCCCCCATGGTGAGTAGTATACAAATACAATACGGAGTATTATATAATGTTTGTTAAATAGAGAGATCAATTGCACTTGAATTCTCAAATTCAAGACCCCTCAATCTATATACGACCATCATAAATCGAATGCCAACACCATAAATCGATTATTATTTATTACACGAATTATTACCTCCCGAAATCAAAGTTATCATATACGATGTATAGATAAGGTCACATAATACAGTACAAGTTGTAGATTAATAAAGAGGTCATTACACCTTTACACCCCACAGGAGCAGTTAAAGGCCAAACGTTTTTCTCATGTTGTATCCTTTTCCTTGATAAAGATAGTACACTTGGTAAGATGTGGAACAATATGCGTGGTTCTAAATTGATGTACTTATTATTTCAACTCATTACTAATTAATGGTTACCAAGGCACAAAATTAAGATATTTATCCATCTTTGCAATCATCACCATTTTTCTCATAAATTAGTGCTTTTTTTGTGTATGATTTAGACAAGAAATGGAGGTGGTACAGAGTAAAGAATGGTACATGGCAGCCTACGCTAGAGACGGTCTACCATCGTCGGATCATCTTAAGTTGAGAACTGTGAGCATATCCTTAGCCGTTGATTCCATCCCCGAAAATCATGTTGCTATTCAGATCCTTTGGATCTCAGTTGATCCTTATTTGCGCTCAAGAATGACTGGTATTGAAGAGGATGGCCTTAACGTGTCCCAATATCCCATTAACCAGGTTTTTTTTTTTTTTTTTTTTGTGCAAATGTCGTATGACTTTCTATTAATAATAACGCCATTTTATTTCAATTTCTTTGCTGCTATAAAATAGACATTTGCATTGGTTTTATCAAATATTATAGTGTCCCTACTTTAAGTGTCTTAGGCCTTGTTCTTTTAATCCTCTCTGCAGAATTTTATTTTATGCTGATCTTTAGAGTTATGGTCACTTTTTCTTACTTTCGACAATAATTGTAATTGGAATAAACGGAATTTAAATGCAGGTTATTGTATCATATGGAGTAGGGAAGATAATTAGATCAAAAGATGTGAAATATAAGGAGGGTGATTTGGTGGTCTGCTCAGAAATGCCAGTTGCTGAGTATAGTGTAATACCCTCTCAAGCTGTGACTAATAAAATTGATCCTACTTTAGGGGTCAGCCCTTCAGAGTATCTCAATGTGCTTGGTACGATGATGATTCAATTTGATACTACGTACTCCCTCTGTCTCTATGTTTTATTTTATCGTTAATTGTTCTCCCCATCGCTCTATTTGTTCAATATAATGCTTCTTAATTAATTGAAAAGACGGAGGGAGTACAGTTTTGATGATGAGCAGGTCATATAATCAAAGTGGAAAAGCCTTATAATATAAAGTAGTATGTATGGGAAAAATGTGCAGGGATACCAGGATTTGCAGCATGGGTAGGAATTCAAGTAATAGGGAAGCCAAAGGCAGGGGAGAATGTGTTCATTTCTGCCGCGGCTGGAGGTGTTGGGATGATTGCTGGTCGATTGGCTAAAATCAAAGGTTGTCGCGTCATTGGTAGCACTGGATCTGATGACAAGGTGCATTTTTATAATTGAGTTTTGTTATACATAGTCCTTGGAGAGTTGGAGGTGTATATATAATACTACGCTAGAGATGGTACATGTATACATCGATCCCATCTCCCCTCCACGTTTTAATTAGTTTTAAGTTCATACAAACGTGATGTCTATTATAATTTAATTTAAACGGAACTTGTTTTTATGTAGGTGAGATTATTGAAGGAGGAATTTGGATTCGATGATGCATTCAATTACAAGAAAGAAACAGATGTTGATGCTGCTCTAAGCAAGTAATTTGTGCAGTATTATATATATCTTCTCATTTTAACCCCAATCTAAATTAGCATTAATTATGGATTTGAATTCTAAATTAATTACAGGTACTTCCCTAATGGAATTGATATATACTTCGAGAATGTGGGTGGCAAAACTCTTGAGGCTGTTCTCAATCATGTGAATACATATGCACGTATTCCACTTTGTGGAATGATTTCTCAATACAATAAGGTGAGTATAACTATGTATAGAGTACTTTCTTTTTATTCATGATTTGCATATGGAAGGAGTGAAAAAATAAAACCGAACTAAAGTGAAAATAAGTTCAGTTAAACAACACCTTAGTGTATTATTATCTAGGGTGATCTGCAAATGTTGTTAATTTGTTAGTTGCTAAAATTTAGATAGAGTTACCTTTTTGCTGTTGTGATTCGTTGTATATAAAAGTTAGCCTATTTAGTAAATTATTAATCATATCATTTGAACAGGTTTGGACAGAAAGGGAAGGGGTGAGAAATCTATTGAATATGGTGGGAAAGGAAGTTCACATGCAAGGTTTCATGTTACGGTCATATTTTCATCGTTTTGGGGAATTTGCAACAGAAATGGGTGGATATTTGAAGGAACAAAAACTAAGCTCAAAACTTAAAATTAACAAGGGTATTGAAAGCTTTTTAGATAGCATGGCCTCACTTTTTACCAGTTCCAATTCTGGTAAAGTTGTCATTCAAGTTTAAATCATAACAAGTCTAAATGCTCTTTCTATTGTGTGATTTCATGTTACACTAAATTGTGTTTAAGCAAACAATACGAACTTGGTGCATGGCGCATCGTCCATAGTCGTACGTTCCTTAGATTTCAGCTTTTTTTTTTTTTTTTTTTTTTTTTTTTTTTTTTTTTTGGTCATCGTGCATACTTTATTTTTAATGAATGCGAGTATTTATTTTTGTAAGGTGAAGTGAATAAGACCTTAGTCTTATTTTACTCAGCTTACTCCCGTTTGATTAATTTTTATGAGAGTTTTTTCTTTTTCATTAAAGTGTTAGTAGCAAGTAAAATGAGACGGAGATAACATTACCATTCACACAAAATAATAGTAATAAAAAGAACAAAGTAACACAAGAGATTTTTGTTAATACAAAAAACCCAATAATGATAATAAAAAAAACCGCGGGACTAGTAGTCCAAAACTTCCACTATAATAATATAATACCCCATCCGTCCCATAATTACAAGCAAATATAACTCTTAACAATTCAGTTTTTAAGAAGGATGGAAAAAGTATAAAATATTGTATGGAAAAGATAAAAAGTAAAGAATATTATATGAGAATAATAAAAAGTAGAGAATATTATATGGATAAGTTAAAAAGTAAGTAATGATTTGTTAGGTGTGTGTGTATTTTGTATGAAAAAAAGAAAAATTAAGTAATGATTTTTTAGGTGTGTAATTTATATGGAAAAGATAAAAAAGTAAATAATGATTAGGTGTTATTTTTAGTAATAGGAGGAATATTTTGGGACACCCAAAATAGTATATTTGCCTTTAATTATGGGACTGAGAAAATAGTAGATTACAATATGACTTCACCTAAATTGGATGGATAACAATATTTTCTCACAAAGTACAATTGGGGAACACTCACTAACTTGAGATTAAAGATGATCTCAAGCTCCTCACTTTTCTTTGTGGCTCTCTCTTATTACTCTCTTAGAGGTTTTCTTCACAAGATTTTAGGGGCCAATTTAGCTCTTAGGGGTCCGAATTGAGCTCGGAATTAGAAAAAAAAACTAACGCAAGTGCCTATTTTGTGTAACAAAAATGTATCAATTTGTGGGAAACTATAAAAATGAAACACTTACGTTATTTTTTTTGCAAAATCCGAGCTCAATTCAGAACCCTAAGGACTAAAATGATCCCTAAAACCTTAACCGAAGATTTTTTTGACATGTAAACCGATAAAAAAGTTGAATCGGGCTGCAATTTATACGAACTTTTAGGCTGCAATTTGTAGTTTTTTTTAAATGGTTGCAATTTACAAATTTTCCTTTCATTAATATACACCAGTTTTTCCAAACCCCCCCCTCTTCTTTATTGCCTTCTTGGTGTGTAGTATACAAATACAATACAGCGTATTATCTAAAGTTCTTTAACTCTAAAGATCAATCGTTAAATACTTGAATTCTCAAATTCAAGACCCCTCAATCTATATGCATAATTTGATATATCTGAGAAGAAAATTTTAGGAAAATTTGTAAGGAAGGTACTTTTAAAAGTGACATAAAAGATCTTTATATCATGTTTTGGTTGTGGGAGGGTTCTTTGACCAATTTTTGGCGTTGACCAAATTTTTCTGACCACAAAAATAGTTACATGCACAGCACATGACCACTAAAATGAACTTTTATTTTTTTTCCCTCTTTCCCTCTTTTTCCCTCAGCCAAAAATAGCAGTTGTTTAGCAGCATCCCTGACTTTGCCCTAAGACTGAAGCCATGTCTAAACCAGTGACAAACTAATATCTCAGAAAGATATTGAGGGGAAAAAGGGGAAAAGGGAAAGAGGGAAAATGAAGGGGGAAAAAAGGGAAATCGAGGGGAAAAAGAAGAAAAATAAAGTTCATTTAATTTAATTAAGTGGTCGACCACTTAAAAGGACCCTCTCCACAAATTTTTCAAATTTTTATGAAATGCTTTAACAACTAATTCGATTTTTGAAGTATTCCTGCATCAATAAGCACACTAAAGAAAACGAGTATCACAACTAGAGCTGTCAAAAGTTGACCCGGTCCGAAATACCGACTAAAACCCGATTATTAACCGACCCATTTGAACCCGAAAAATTGGTGACCCAAACCCGACCTGACCCCACCTGAAACTAACCCTAGGCCCGAGTTGACCCGAGTATGTGAGACCCAAACCCGAACATAAACTAACCTGGAGATGACCAGACCCGAATGTAACCCGTAAATTATTGACCTGAACCGAACCCGAATTGAACCGAAATTGACCCAAACCCGTTTTAACCCGTCAAAACCCGAATTTAACCCGACTTGTTACTAACCTAACTTGAATTCAACCTGACCCGTTCCTAACCCGACCAGAATTTAACCCAACCTGTTACATCAAACCCGACCCGAAATCAACCTACCTGACTTGTT